TGTTATTCTCTCTATACCCTTATTTCCCTGCTCAGACTGCTACCCTCAGCCAGGAACGGCTTCACCATCTCCTCTGTGACGGGAAAGTTTCGGGGAAGCTCTGAGCAGCGCTTGATCACAGTGGGGTTGATTCCGTTCAGAAACTGGAATCCGTAAAAGTCATCCTCCTTCCAGTGCTCTGCAATGTATTCTGGAAAAAAAATTAAAGAAACAGAGAGAAAAAGTTTTATCTGCTCAGGTTTGATGAACAACATGATCCTGGTCAAATAAAATTGTTTTTATTTTAATTTGTATAAAAACATCTTATTGCCCACAGAAGACAGAAGTTTTTCTTAATGAAAAGGAAGAAAATTGATTCAACATTATCAGCTGATTTCAAATAAACTGTAGTTACGTGTTAACTGAACAATTGAAATTATTTAATGCTTGATAACTTCAACAATAATAGCGTTGTTCTCATATTAAAAAAACACAGCTGATAAGGGAGCTTTGAACTTCACCTGAATGGTATTAAATTAATACATTCTGTTAATACAACTCTTTATCCTGCACATCATTTGTGTGTTACCAATTAAAGTAATTTTTTTTATGTTGCTGCAACAATTTCCTTTTTCCAGTCCGCAGTGAAGTTTTCCAGAAACCTGAGTAAAACTGCTCATAGAATAAACGTCTGTCACATTGTAGGTGCATTGTTATTTATGATTTTGAGCAGTATGTTGTAAACATTTAGCCCATATATTATGACATGTGACTGATTAGTTTAACTTTGGAGGTAAGGTTAGTCAATTATCAGTTTTGGAGATTTCAGTGATTACCAATCTGCCAGTTTCTGATTGGTCTGTTTGATCACTTGTGAACTGATAATTGTGTGTCTCCCGTCCTAACATGCAGCCACTTGTTACTGTATTTATACAGCAGTTCTCCAGTCACATTCACAAACGCCAGGGATCAAACCTCTGACCTTTTGGTTAGTAAGTCGACCCGCTCAACCTGCTGAGCCACAGCCACCCCAGACTTGTGAGACCAGAGAGGACCAAACATTTCTGTCACAAAAAGCTTTCATCTAATCAGCAGTACTGGTAAACAGGAAATACCTGACATTGCTGTCTTTTTGAAGTTGAAGATTTTTTTCAGGTCGTCGACAGTCTCCCATTTTTCGATGGACCCCAGCTTTCCTTTAATTTTGAGTTCAATTCCACTGAATTAAAACGGGGGAAAAGAAAAACAGTGTGAGTATATTGGAACCAGTTTGTGTTGTAAATCTTTATATACAGTCAAACCCACATTTGTTTTTCTGTTCCCTGCAGTTCGTCCACTTTGGCCTTAGACCGGCGTATTTCAGCTGGTAGCTCAGACTCATGTTCAAAACTGCTTATGTCGAGTAGTCCCTCAGCTAGAGGCTTCCAGCTAAAGAAAACAAAGGACCAAAGTTACAGAAAAAGGACATGTCTCAAAGTGGACATGACTGCATCTCTAGGTACAGGACCCCTGTGCTGCACACTTACTCGTAAAAGCTCCTTTTAAGCGTCAGCTCTTTTTTCCGGTGCTCAATCAACAGGGGATGGTCGTCCTCAAAAACCWTCATGGCTGCGAGGTGAACAGAACAGAACAGCAGATAAAAAATGAGAAGATTAAATATCCCAAAAAATWATWATGTTTTATAATAAAGATCTTTAAGATGAATAATAATATAATATCGGACCTCTCCCTCCTCTCAGCTCCACATACTCTCCCCTGGAGATCCATCTGTGACAGGGGAAGAGAATGACATCTCCCTCTGGAGTCGTCACCTCTATGGTGGAGCAGTACCACTCGTCTTCTGGGAAAAGGATACGGGGATCCTTCTCCACCTTGACCAGCAGAAGTTTSCCMAGAGAGGAACTGGTTTTCAAAGTGTAGGTCCCGGTCTGAAAGTAAGAGTTAATTTAAATATAAACAGYAAAGTAAGTGCGACATTTGTTAAAAAGGGCGTTGGCTTTGATGTTTTCAGTCTCAYAAACATTTGCCAGTACACAGAGATAGACAAACATGACAGCTGCTGCGTACCAATAGAAATGGGTGTTTATGAGGGATTTAAAAGAAGATAAGGAGTTTGTTGGACTGATCCCCTCAGGGATATTGATCCAGAGAGTGGGAGCCCTGACAGGAAAGGCCCAGTCACCTTTTGGATGAACTATCCCTTTAATTTGTGAATAAATATCAGAGTGTCGTGCAGGATTCAACTCACTTCACCGGTGCTGAAGTCTTTGCCAAAGTTGTCCAGGTCAGTTTGCTCACTCTGTCCGTCACTTCCAAATAGAGTGACAGATACGTGAGCCCATGTTCCTGCATGTTGCATGTCACCTGTTGTCACCTGCAGCTTGTACTCAGCCATGTTCACTCAGGTGCAGATTTTTCCTGTCTGTGCTTTGTATTCTCGCTCTCTGCCTGTTTCTTTACAAGGCTCCACCCTATATAGGATGAACTTGTGTTTCTGGTTTTTGATCCCCTTGAAGCCCTTTACCTCAGGATATGACACTCAGGTAATGGCCTGATTTGCATACAAAGCTGCAACATTCCTGCCTGGTATAGATAATAACTGGTTTGATCATGCTCCAGACAGTCATACATAATATACACCTGTATATGTTCTGGACACACCATTAAAAGTTTTTTAAAAATGTAATACACAGTACAAGTGTAGAAAATGTCACCTAACATCTCGGCTGCTGTACTGGGATGCTTGTATGGAATATGCTGGAATATGCTTGTATATTCTCTTGCTTGCAGGCACATGCTGAGTGTGAGAAACCTCCATCAGACAGGTCCGACTGCCTCAAAGGGGCTGCATGGTGTTCAAAACAGCCTCATGCCTGACAGCATAGTAATTGTGAGTGGTAGAGGTTTGCACAGAGGCGAATTTCCATTGAGCAACCAGGAGTAGTCGTTAAACAAGACGATAAAAGAAGCTTCAAGAAGTATCACTTTTCTATTTTTGTAATCGTTAAGACTCCCTACACTGTATTTGTGATTGTTGTCATTGTAGATCATTTGCTTCTAGTTTTCCCAACTACTGCTGCATGTTGAGCAGATATACTCTGAGCTGATATATAGTATGTGTAGTACATACTAGTTTTAAGAGTTGCATCACATTCTCACACATACACTTGTCAGACGTTTCTTGGCCATTCCTGCAGACATCAAAGTACTGTTAATCCATCTGCCTGATCTTCACATGTACTTTAATTATAATAGCACTCAATAGAACGGTTATCTCTCCTAGATATCAGATGTCTAAGAGTGCAAGATTCTTCCAAGGAAATCTGGGAAAATGTAGAAAAAACCTGCCTGATCTTGCAATGTTTAAGAAAGCCAAAAATATTCACTCATTTGTTCAGACCCATGACAAAATTTCACAATTCTTTTACAGGGTGAGAGATGACCTGTTGGCATGCAGAGGTGTCTCAAGGAGCTTTAGGGACTTTAAGGGACCTGCATGGGGACTCTACACAATCATCGTTGCTTATGTAATCAGCCATTCTCAGGGGGAGGGGGGCTTACTGCGGTGCAGTACAGTATTTTAACTTTAATTATTGTAACACAAACTTGATGCTAAGATGCAAATATTTGTAGGTAAAGATTTTCTTAAAGACCTGTTGATAAAAACAACAAAGCTGCATATTGAATGACTGGTGGAAGCTTTAAAGAAAACATAGAAGATTGAAAAGATTTTATTGAATGGTAGCAAATCACATGCATTAATGGGCTATCCTCATATTAATATCCATCTGTTTTGACTCTGTCCTACAGACACAGACTTGCTTTGGGGTTGACATCAGAATTCAGGATCAGAAAGACAAGAAAGAGGAGACACAAGCAAATCTTGTATAGTGCTGGCATAACTTTCTGTCACACAGAAATAATGCAATAACCTGCCCCCCCCATGGCTACAACTTGTCGACTAGATAGAGAAACCATTCAAATCTCTTTTCACTTTCTCATTACATCAAATAGAATAATATAAATCTACTGTGCATATGTGTCTTCAAGAAAATAGACTTTATCTTACCAGGTGCATATTCAGCAAAAAACTCATGCAAAGCTACAAGGTTAATATGTATTTTTTTTGTCAACATAGGAATCACCCACAAACACGCTGTGACAGGTAAAGTGTTATTTCATTCATTAAGGCTTCTTCATATCTATAGTGTAATGCAGGAAGAGTTCATTGCTTATTCAGAACTGAAAATCGTTGAAATTGCACCATCCACGTAATACTACAGTGATTCTGCGGGCGGTCAGCCCCATTTGGTCAGGTGTAAACTGGACGCAGGACACGACGCAGCGAGTGTCCGTCGCGCGCAGTGCACATGGCAGGAAGGGGTATGGGCTCCGTCTTGTGCTCCACTACGTTATAGTGGCACTTCTTCAGGTGGTCCGACATGCTGGGGAGATCGGTGAAACCCCAGGACGACACGGGGCTGAAGGCAGTGCTGAATCTCCACACCTGAAACAGTGAGTAGAAAAGGAGGTTGGAGTGAAGAGGGAACTACATTGATTGCAGATTTAGTTTTTAACAACCTGTACTTAACTTTACTAGTAATAAGCCTTAGAGGTGGTGGTATGGGGATTTTATTACCTATGGATAGAGCCCTACTTTCCTAAGTAACTAGCTGCTGGCTCCGGCCACATACACCAAACGGACAACAATGGAATTAATCTTCTTGGCACGAAAACAAATTATAACCTTTATAAATGTAAACTGTAAATGGCTTAGTGAGATTATTTTCAGCTTTGTGGACACAACTCCATGAGATATGATCACAATACATTTTAATTCATTGTATAATTTAGGTTATTGTCAGCTTTTTGAAATGTTTGTGACGAGTTTGCATGTTCATGTTTACAGATGTAGTTTTCTACTCACTCTATTTTTGATCTGCCATGACACAGTGCCATGAGCACCAGGGCCTTGTCTCCGCTCCCACTGCAGCTCCACTATACCCCTGGTCTGCAGGAGACTGGCACACACCTCCCTCATAGTCCGTGAAACCAGTGAAAGCTGACACAGGCTGAAACTGTCCAGGAACCCAGCTATGTGCCACAGTATCTCATTGGGAAGCCCACTAAATTGGTCAGACTGGGAGTCATTTGGAAGTTTGGCCCTCGGGCAAGGCTGAACCCCGAAGGATCTCAGGTGTCTGTCGTGAACCACCTTGGCCCCTTGGGTAGATGGGTAAAACCTCCTTTGGGAAAACGTGCAGCCATAATATGCAAGTGGACAGCGGTGCTCCATCCAACCATTGAGACCGGCGTGGATGTCACCGTGGACATTGGTAAAATGGGAAGAAAACTGGTCCCGGCGGAATGACTGGCCACAGACGAAGGGGAACATGTGTTGGTAGCGGGGGTTTGAAGGGAGGTAGCGGTTATGTGGGACCGCCTCAACCTCCAGAGCTTCCAGGACAAGGCCGAGGCGAAGGGTGCGGAAAGGGCTTGGGTAGGCGAGCTGGGGGGCAGCATGATCACAGGCAGATGCAGAGGCCATGTCACCCACCCTTGTGTTTGTTACCAAGATTGCTGCAGGGAAAGTGAACGTCTGTGTGCCAAAGTTGACGCAGTAGCCATCAACATAGACTGTGTCAGAGATCCTCCTGCACTCTCTAGACTCTTCTAAGCAGAAGAGCAGTGCTGCTGTGATCAAATCAATCTCTCCTAGACCCATTGGGTCGTCATCCTGCTCCAGATCGGAGGTATCCACTGCCTTGTCCTCCATTTTGGGTCGCAATCTATATGGTGACCTGTCTGGGTTGAAACCTATCCGTCCATTTGGTAATGGATATTGGCTCTGACCCCTAAAATACTGGTAATTGTGGAACCTCCGCTCAGACCCATGGCTCTCTAATAGAACTAGCCCCCTATCTTCCAGGACCACATGACCAGCCCTCTGTGCCACACCTGGGCTGACATGAAGTGGAGATGACATTTGAGGCGTCCCAGCCTCCTGAGAAACACCAGCATTCACCTCACCTTGCACCTCAACAGAAGAGGCTGCCTCTAAACAGGCCCCTGTCGCTCCTGACTGAGCTCCACTTGTTTTAGGAGCGCTGTTTCCACTTAAACAGCTAGAACAGACACTTTTCTCCTCCATCTCTTTTTTATTCACACCGTCAGCCGCTGCTTTGTCTTCCAGTCCATTCTGAAGGTCTCCACTGCTGCTCAATCTACTCTCCTGCACAGCAGCTCCTCTGTTTACACACACTGAGCTGCTATCAACAGAACCGGCACTGCTAACGAAGTCTAAAGCAGCAGCTAAACTTCTTGCAGTCTCAACTGTGGCCTCATACAGTTTACCGAAGTGCTCCTCGTTCAAGCCATTAATTCCACTGGCAATCTTCTCCTTTGCCGAACCTGGGGCAGGCGTGGGCAAAGCTGAGTTCTTTACCCTGGTCTCCTTACTAACTGGAACATGTGGCTGTCCCTCTGCAGTAGGTGCCATGGAAATCACCTTGAGGGACTCGAGGAGTGTACGCTGATCCTGAAGGGCAAGTGCCATGTCCAGCTGCTCCACCTCCTCCACCCCACGACTGAGGCTCTCATAGGAAGTATAGTCCAGGCAGCTAATTGGCCATCTGTTCCACTCCATAGTACAGCACACCACGCCAGCGGGACAAACCTCGAGGTGTCCATACATTTGGTTGCGGACCAGCATGGAGGGGCAGCCATAGCCACTGTTGAGACAGGGGACCCTCACAAGTGGGCACAGAAGATGGTGCTCGCCAGCTTTGCAGGAGTGAAATACAGCGCCACACACTTGAGGACAGGAGATGAGATCACAAGAAATGCCTGGTTCAGGTCTGACCATGCATCTATGGTTGACACAGGACATGCAGTGAATATGATCCTCCTCCATCTTCAGAGCTGAGGGGGGTGGAGAGCTCCTGAATGCGACTGTGACAAAATCCACTGTCCTGCCAAATAAATGGAAAGGAAAAATATTTTCAAAAAGGATTCTTAGACTTTATTTGAATTCATATAAGATTAAAACCATGAAATCAGTATTGACGTGTACCACAGCTTTGGCTGCTATCATTATGTTGAACCACCAGATGTCACTGTGCCTGAGATCCATGAAATCTAAGCATCATGTCAGATGTGTCATTCCTCCCTCAAATCGAAGAAAAGAGATTAAGCTTCATGTTTTAACCATTCATGATCATATGAAAGAGCAATGATATCATATCTAATCAAATTACAAATGTAATCTGTTGCCATTGGCAATAAAGCTGATTTTTATTTTAAAACTACCTGAAAGTGTCTGAGGTGCTGGGGATCTTTCTTTAGAGCCTGCTATGAAACAGCGCCCCCACTCCGTCATGTGTGGAAATCAACTGCAGTCACGTGATGCAGACAAAAGCCTGTCTCATACAAAAACCTTATTAGGAAGCTTCCCAGCTTGATATGAAGGAGGTCAAAACCACGTGGGTAAAACAGATGTAACAGGTATCGATTTAGTTGTGTGTTCACACGTGGAAAGTGACAAAGTATTAAATACTTGTGTTCACTGAGCAGTGAATAATGATGATGCACAAACGCATGAATACTTTGCTTTCTCTTTGTGAAACTAACTTGGCAGAGTGACTCTTCAGTGGCAGTTTTACTAAAACCTGATGATGCAAGTACTGTTGGTACTATGAAGCCAATTCAATGCCATTGTTGTCCTTGCACAGTGTGCGGCTGTGTGCAACTCTGGCACAATGCTCTTTAGTTCCAGTGTTACATATAGTAATGTGACAAACAGACAAGTAGACAGATTACAATTGAATAAATGCATATATAAAATAGATATTACATTTAAATATATATATATATATATATATATATATATATATATATATAATTAAAGCAGGTGAGTATATGTAATATTGCACATGTAGGGTATTATTGCACTTGGTTAAGTTCAATAATCACACTTGGTTAATGGCTTGTTAAGAGTCTGTTAGTGTGAAATGAGAAACCTTGATTTAATGACAAATCAAATAATACAACTCTTACAGTAAAGATTATATCATTGAAAGTAAATAGAGTGGAACTTGGCCTCAGCTCGTGATATTTGATTGATGAAACTCCTTCTCGTCACCTTAGTTGAATCTCATCAGAGGTCATGAAGAGCTAGAAGAAACGGGGAAGTAACTTCCTGCACACTTCTCCCTGTTCATCCTACAGGGTTGACACAGAATATATGACGTTTGCATGTGAAGACAGTGAACCCACAAAATCACAATCTTTTCATATCCAGATGCTGATCTGTGGTATTACTGCACGAACATCACATTTATTTAAAGCCAACTAAATATTCAACTGTGGTGCACATCTATCATTCCAGGTGTTACTGTACTTTCCTTCATACGTGTTGTCAACAGAGGCAGCTTCTCCCCAGGAAAACAAAACAGTCGCTGCTTCCTGACAGCTGAAGTTAACTTCCATCAAAATGTGTGCAGCTGATCAACCCTGTTGAAGCTGTCGCTAAAGTGAACACTGGTTTGTATTCGTACCCGCACTGATTCCAGTCTCGTGTCAAACCCTCTCTCTCTTTTTTAATCAACTTGTTTTTGTCACAATGACAAGCTAGCGGCTAACGCTGGCTAACAGCGGCTAGCTGGCTCCGAAGTTGAACCGCATCCCGACAAGCTAACTCGGCTCCGTAACATCGCGTTAGCAGCGGAGTGTGTTCTCACCTCGTGCTTGTGTTGGCAGGAAAACTTCTGGTTGGAGGTGTTTGATTGAAAATATCTTAAATTCAAGCAGCTGTCAACTGTACTTTTCTCTGTGGAGCTACTGCTAATGACAGCAAGCTACATCAGTTAGCCTGCTGCTTCTTTTTTTTTTCCTCCTGTCAAAACTTTATTGACCAGGCAAGTACATCCATTTTACATTGAGGATAAAAGAAAGAGTAAAACTATGATAACATTTAATTGTGTTGATTGATACGATTATGGTTATTATTTTTTAAATAATTACAAATATGTTCATCTCTATTCCCTTTATTTCAAATTGTTTTTAAATTTCAAAATGAAATTGCATTACATTGAAGCATGACACCTTTTGTTATTTGAATTATATCTTATCAGTTTGTTTATTGTTGTTATTTATAAATGATCAGTCAAATCTATACTGATAAATAAATAGATTCAACTGAGATTATAGATTACTAATGTGCACAATGGAAAAATATTCATGCACACATCCGTCCAATACAAAAATAATATAGTCCCACTCCCTTTGTTCTGCTGCCTTCATTTAACTTTTCAACAAGCTATGGGAATGGTGAATAACTGGATGTGTGGGGCATGAAGAGTTTGAAGGTCTCAACTCAAGTGGGAGAACAAAACTTATATTCTTACACTTGACTTATTTTGTTTTAACTACTTATTAGCAATTTTCAAACCTTCAAATTGTTGTTGAATGAATAAAAATAAAATAGAAAAATAGATACTGTTCGGTTTTTCTTTACATTTTAAGGTCTTGAGCATGTTATGTTTTGATTTGGCACTTAAAATGGAACTGAATTCCATAGCTTGTTTTTAGCTATACAGATAAAGTTATTATCATCATATTATTAGTTTAAATATACACAATAGTCCACTGATAAATAAAATTGCTTCTCTCATGTCTTAAGCAATACATCAATCTTTTTTTGTTGTTGTAGGCAGTAACCACTAATGAACAGGAGAGGTCAGCAATGCACTATTTCTGCCTTCTGGCCTCCTGGCTGTTTATGGTCAGACCATGGCCTGGAAATGCCACATTTCGAGGTCGGGATAACCTACAAAACAGCCGCCCTGGAGCCGGAGGACCTGGACCACGGACCCATCAGCAGGACAGTGCTGATGTGACAGTGCAAACTTGTCAGGAGGTGTTGAAGCAAAGCCATGCAGTCAGCGGGACCGTCAACATTACCTGGTATGAAATCTAACATAAATGTTCTACGAAAAGGAGTCAGAACATTTCATACGTTTGAGCTAAGGAAGCAATGATACAAAGACAGTTTTATCTGTGTACAGGCTACAATCCAGACAACTCAACGCAGGAAACCAGAAAACCTCTGACACTTCAGCCCTGCTGATAAGGCAGCACACATTTTGAGGATAAGAGGCAACCATAGGATGTAGCTTAACTAAACCAGACTTAAAATCTCTCACACACACAGAGACTGTATTTGAACACCTGTATCGTGTTGACAACTACTTACCCACATAAGACATGATAAATCTGTAAGGAGAATCGGTATTAACAATGTGATGTGCGGATGATGTGAAATTGCTCAAACGCCAAATTAGAAAACAAATTTGCTTCTGGAGACCAGTAGGGATTTCTGAGATAAAAGTAGAAGTTATTCCAGAAGAACAGTCCACAGCAGTTCAAACATTGAAAGCATTTAATGCTAAATAGTGTGTGAATAATAATCTTTTTCATTTGTTGCTAAATTGGATTGCGGTTTCTCAGCCTTTTGTTGAAAGACAGCACTGATTTCAGGGCAGCTATTTTAATTTTATGTGTTAAAAATATGTTGATGTTGAATAACTTCTTATAATTTAATTTTAAGCTTAGGTTGCAGTGCAGTTGTTTTGTCTCTAGTGGCTTAATTTCACCCGTGATGGTGCAATAAACCTTTTCCTTGAAGCTGTCAAGTGAAAACCACACTTTCCTTTGCAAGTTTTAAATGGTTCATTGTGGCATCTTTGACAACAAGACACTTATTTGTGTAAGACTCCCTTCGCTGTTGTCTGTTGAATTTTTATAGGATGTCATCGATGAAAAGAACTGATGTTGCTGAATAAGTGCCAACATTCCTGATCCTGTGCAAAGCAATGTCTAACATGAGAAATTGGCTTGCCAAAAGATAGAGTGATGAGGTTTATGTTTGAGGAAATAAAATGGAGATGTTTTTCTGCTTCTTTGGCTCATCCAATTATTCTTAGGAATAGGCAATGACACTGATATCAGTCTATGTAACAGTGTCTCGTCACCAGTTCTACGCGATCAAAGCAATAATAATACCCTGGGAACCTTGGGAAGTCTTGCTGGCCAGACTCTGCAGACCCCAGTCCTGAAATAAACCGAGAACCACCCTTTGCCCTGAAGTGTGGCTACAGCATCCAAGTAGTCTCCCCTTCTCAAACATGTCACTTTTATTCAGGTTCAATATGAGACGCTTGCCCCCAAAGCCCCGGGCACCAGCAGTGGCAGTGTCATCGTGACTCCTTTTACAAGTTTATTTGTGATTTATATCGCCTGGCATGAGTCACGACCGGACCCGTCCCTACCACATAAGCTGCACGCCCCCTGGGAGTGGGCCTTGAGATACAGACGTTCGGATTCAAACACTGGGCGGAGTTAAAATCACAGAGTCAGTGAGGAGTGGCAGATTCCATAAATCTTCAGTATTCATAGTAGATTACTGTGGCATTTAAACTTTGAAGCTGACAATCATGTTGTTATTAAACTCCATATTAAACCACAGTTTAGATAGCAGCTAACTTGGAAAACGCAGACCATTGCAGAGACATGTTGCGATCAGGCTACTGTTGTGGGTGAAGTTGTGTTCAAAAGCTCAAAAAGAGGCAGAACTAAGACCCACGATTGGCCTCCACAGACCTGAGGCCTGAAATGTCGCCTGCGACCTTCAACCAAACGCTGGGTGGAGCGACGCACACTGTTAACACCGCTGTCCACAGTGCTGAAAGCATCCATCGTGGCTCATGCAGCGTCTTGCATGAGTTGACTGAAGCAGAGAAGATATCAGATTATAGTCTCACTATAAGTCGTGAAGGACAGCGTCTGTCTGCTGCTTGTTAGTGCTTGTCAGTCCAGCATCGTATCATTTACAGTGAGCCGTCATGTAATTCCAAAGCTGCTCAACGCCTGACACCTACACGACTAACTCAAAAGTAACAGAATTATTGACATGAACCTTGAATGTTAAGTTGCAAGCGATACTGGTGATGGGATAAATAGCTGTCATTAATACACAGTTTAGGTTCATAGGTTTCTGCTTCAAAAACATTTTTGGTCATAGTGCTACAGACCTGGCATTTTCCCACCCATTTTCTTTTAACCTGGGTACATCTAATACTGTATATTTACTTATCTGTGATATTACAGGATAATACTATAATGTCAATCATACAAATGAAAATAGGTGCACAGAGAGCAAGATAAAATGTTCCCCTGATGTGATTTTTCTTGTATGCCTTTGTCTTTTCATTTGATCTTGAATCATATTTATCAGCACATGTGAACATTTATCATTATTCATCATACATCTTTATATAACAAATGCAGACAGGGAGGGATAAATACTGTAGGAAAAAAAAGGCGATGGTTGCAGGGGTGGGAGAGAGGATGGGGGTCTTAATGCTTAACATAGAGAGAGAGAGTGAGAGAGAGAGAGAGAGAGAGACTCAAATGATAGCGCCGAGGACCACGCGCTACAGAAGAAGGTGGAAGGCACGCGACATGTCTCAAGGATTCAGGTAAGTTTTAATGCAACACACAGAAAAAGGCAGTTTCACGTATATGTATAGTGTTTACATGACAATTAAAAATATATAATGTATAGGATATGATTGTTATGCATCATTCTACTGAAGAAATTAGTCTGTTAGTCTGTATTAGCCCTGTTATCATTTACATTATCATTAGAATTTGTATCATCATTATTGTTGTTAATTGTCACCGATGCAACCTTATGCACGACAGATAGAAAATGTTGGGTGCGTTTAAAAACAAGAGCAGCCAGGTTATAACAGCTGGATTTCTTTTTGTCAGTCCTCGTGTGGGAATCAAACATGAGTGGATCATGGATGGATGTTAGTTGCTCGTGTCTGAGTCAGATGGTGAACACGGTGTCTGTGAGGTGAGAGGATGCACGAGCTCAAGTCAACAGCCCCGAAAAAAACACGTCCCTCAGAACGTGTTCGCTGTCCGCGGTGCTGAAATCTGCCTCCTTTTCTGAATGGAGCAGCAGCACAGTGCGCTCAGCCTCCACTCACACATACACACACACACACACACAGACACAGCTGCTGGAAGAAAACAACACGTTTGAGGGATTTTTTTTAAAGACCTGGCTGCCCCCCCCCACCATCAGTAAACAGCAGTCCCATTCAGCTGGGTGTGAGTTAAGTGCCTTGCTCAAAGGCACTAAACTCCACTCCATGATAGTTGATGACTCTTCCAGCTGCAGGAATGTAAAGCAGGGCGTCGATATAAAAAGAGCATGCGTGCTTGTAGTCAACTAAACGCTCAGCACATCTGTCCTCCTCCCTCACAGCAGTTTGTCTTGCTTCCTCTGCAGGTGCACGCGGATATGCTCCAGGTGTCGTGCGCGCGGATCATGGTCGCTGGGATAAACGTGGATGTACTGACAGACAGCGGATAGTATGCCCGCACACTTGGCATGGCAAACGCGATGTGGCACAACATGGCACGCGTAAAGATGGGTCTCCTCGCTCTCCTCTGTCTCCCCACATTTTTCTTCCGTGTCCTCGTGCTCTGCCACGGCAGCAGCGGCATCTACGAGCGCTCGGTGGTCCCCCGCGCCGTGTCCCGCTCCGTGGCCCGCATGGACGGGGATGTGATCATCGGCGCACTCTTCTCCGTGCACCACCAGCCGTCCGCGGAGAAGGTGGCCGAGCGCAAGTGCGGGGACGTCCGCGAGCAGTATGGCATCCAGAGGGTGGAGGCCATGTTCCACACGCTGGACCGGATCAACACCGACCCCAACTTGCTCCCCAACATCAGCCTGGGCTGTGAGATCCGGGACTCCTGCTGGCACTCCTCCGTGGCCCTGGAGCAGAGCATTGAGTTCATCCGGGACTCCCTCATCTCCATCCGGGACGACAAAGACGGGTCCAAGTGGTGTATTGACGGTACCCCGTCAAACCAGCCTCCGCCCACCAAGAAGCCCATCGCAGGGGTGATCGGACCTGGATCCAGCTCGGTGGCTATTCAGGTGCAGAACCTGCTGCAGCTCTTCAACATCCCGCAGATCGCCTACTCTGCCACCAGCATCGACCTGAGTGACAAGACGCTGTTCAAGTACTTCCTGAGGGTCGTGCCCTCAGACACCCTGCAGGCCCGGGCCATGCTGGACATTGTCAAGAGATACAACTGGACCTATGTGTCTGCGGTGCACACTGAGGGTGAGACTGCTGATCACTGACCTCCATCCAAACCACCATGATATTCTGATTAACAGCCATGTTGTGTGTTGAGGCTTTTAGTTGAGTTCATAGAACCTCGTGGTATCACTGTCATGCTTTTCTTAGTGATATACAACCAGAGCACACTAACTGTGAAATTAATACACTAGCCCATCACTTGTGTCAAAATTGAGTTATACTGGAAGCTGGGACGATATTTGCCTGTTAGAAACCACTGGCTCAATAATAATTTGATAAAAGGATTGGCAGGATGTCTGGAAATTTGTACGGAGGCCTTCTACATGGGTCATTTGGGGGCCCACATTCCCAAAATGTTCACATTAACACAATTACAGATTTCTGCAACTTTGTAGGCGCACTTCCTTATCTTTCTCTTAAACAGAACCAATCACGGTGGTGCATTCCCATTATACTGTACATCTTCTTGTCTCTGTCTATTTCTTTCACGCTCAGGTCTTAGTTGTGACCATATATGTGCATACTAGTAAATATTAATTGGGATTTTATAGCATGATTTGGTTTGTGGAACCAAAGCAGGAGCTTCTTGGCTGATTGCAATCAAAGCCAAAGAGGGGCCAGATAGAGAGAAGACCTCTATCCTTGTTTTACCAGCCCAATCAAAAGCCCCTACAAAATCTGTTTGAATCTAAATCTTCCATTTCCATGTGGACTGCAGTGCTTGACTAATGTGTCATGGGCTGGATTGTTGATAAAGCCCACGGCTCTTTAGCATGACAGCTGGATTACAGGCAACAACACAAGGGACCATTTTGGCATTAACAATGTAGGTATTCCGTTAGAAATGAATTCCATGGTTAAGTCACGAGGATGAGGCCAGGATGAAAACTCACATTATTGTGTTAAATATCACCAGGTTCTTATGAATTGAAATGTCTTATCTCCTCAGAAACTATAGGTTTAAGAGTGTTCCATATTTCATACCACGTTGGGCTCACTTTCTATTTTGAGAACGTTTTTGTTCGGCTGAGCAGCACAACAGTTTTGGTGGAGAAACGAGACAGAGTAATTACTGTGAAGTCAATTATGTCCACGGCTTTTCATTAAAGTCTTAGTGAAGAACAGTCGGTGATGTGCAGAGGAATGATGACTGACAGGCTATATTACCCTGGATCCGCTTTCGAGCTGCGGACTCACAGGGAGTGTAAACCATCTTTGGATAGTCCTATTATTGTCAGGTGTTGGAAAGGGGCTGCGACACAGGTTGTTATCAGAGAGATGAAGAGAGGGAGGTAAGGAGCTGTAGTACCCGGAGGCTTAACTAGGTGGCGTCAACTGTCTGACCTTCAGCACACCTACAGGAGGATCCTGTGGGACTGAAGTCATAATTTAAGAGTAATGAAAGACCAGTCTGGGGACGGATGAATTTGATTGCAAGCAACATCACTTACTCAGGCTGCAGTGTGAGCAGTGAAAGTAGGACATCATCTGAAAAAGATGTCGTTCAAAGTTCAATTTGTGAGATTTAACTTCTTTCACAAATAGACCTTCTGTAAATATAAATCCCAACACTGAATATGTTTTGTAAGAGAAAACAGTTGAGAAGTTTGGTGACAAAGTAAATTTGTATATCAGAGCCTTCATATTAAAATGTCCCCTGATGCAGACCTTACCCTGACCTTTAAGAAGTCATATTCAAATCCACTCGTTTGTTTTGCTCTATCTCTGTAAATAGTGGTCACGACTGGCTT